TTTTTTAACACCTTTCGCTCTTTTATATTCAACACCGTTCACTGTGTCGTGTCTTGTTGGTCCACGTAGTTGACGCGGTTGTAAGGTCCATTCCTACGACGGAAGCTGCCGTTTCAATCGCCATTTGCCGTTCAAGTCACCGTCGTTCCGGCCAAGTTGTTCGTTATCTCGCCGTCCCGGCCACGTTGTTTACGGATAGACGCTGCTCTCCGTGACAGCAAGTTGTGCTCACGTGATTCCGCCATTTGCGGTACACCATCGCCGTTTGCGGTCAACCATCGCCGTCGTTCTGACCACGTTGTTCGTTATTCCGCCGTTTGCGGTACATCATCGCCGTTTGCGAGTCGCCATCGATCCGGCCACGTTGTTTGTTATTCCACCGTGTGCGAGTCGCCATCGTTCCGGTCAAGTTGTGTACCCGCGAATCCACCGTTGGCGATTCACCGCCTTTACATCGTCATTGTCGGGTTTTGCTTATTATTTCTTTTATATATATATTGATAAAATATGGTTTAATTTATTATATTTTGTTCCCACGTGGTTTTTATTTCTTGTTGTTAATACTCTTTGAAATATACTTATGTTTATTATTATGATTATGTAAATACTAGATCTTTGGGGTGAAAGACCCTGGGTCTTGACTAGTAAGATGGAGACTACAGTTGGAGGAATTCGATTATGAAGTAGTGTATAAACCAGGCACTCAAAATACAAACTCAGATGCACTAAGTAGAATAAGCATCACAACCGTGACAGAAGAACCTGAAATAGCAAAGGAGTACCAAACATATATCGAAGAAAAGTCAAAACGACTTATAGTAGATAAAAATATCCAGGAGGTTACAGGAGACTTATTTGAAGCTTCTAAAGAATACGCACTAGGTCACTGCGTCTCACAGGATTTCCGAATGGACAAAGGTATAGCTCTTTAATTTAGAAGAAAATTTGGACAAACTGAAGAACTCAGTAATCAAAAGAAATCAGTAACTGAAATAGCAAGCATTGTAACAGAAGAAAGAACTATTATTTGTTTGATAACTAAAGAATATTATTGGCAGAAACCATCATATGAAAATGTATTTTTAGCGTTAACAAACCTTAAACACTACTGCATTTCAGAAAATATTACAAGGTTAGCCATGCCTAAAATTGCATGCGGGTTAGATGAACTACAATGGCCTGAAGTTCGTACTATGATGCGATACATCTTTAGAAATACTCAAGTTCAAAAACTAATATTCACGGATAACAAATATTCAAAGGAAGAAAAACTCAAAATCATAGAAGAATTCCATAATACACCAATGGGTGGACATCAAGGTATAGCCAGGACAATCAAACGAATAAAATAGCACCACAACTGGTTAGGATTGAAAAAAGAAGTTCAAGCATACGTCTTATCGTGCTCATCATGTCAAAAAAACAAAAGCAGTAATAAGACGGTACAGCAGCCGATGGTGATTACGACGACAGCATCAAGACCGTTCGAGGGGATAGCTCTCGATATAGTGGGTCCCTTGGCGACATCGGATAGACATAACTCATACATACTAACGATACAGGATGACTTAACGAAATTCTCAGCGGCATTTCCATTACGCACACATGATGCGAGTAGTGTGGCTAAATTATTAATGGAAGGATTTATTTGTCAACATGGAATTCCGGTAATCATCCTAACGGACTGAGGTACAGAATTTTTAAGTAAACTATTTAAAGAGTGTTGTAAATTACTAAAAATCGAAAAAATAAACACTACTCCCTACCATCCACAATCGAATGGAAGTCTTGAGAGATCCCATCGAACACTAATAGAATATCTGCGACATTATGTGGATATTCACCACAGAAACTGGGATGATTACGTAGCGTACGCAATGTTCGTATATAATACCACAGTTCACACAACAACCAATTATCAGCCCTATGAGCTGGTTTATGGTTTCCCTGCATCGGTTCCTCATACTCTAAGTCGTGCACCTTCCACATGCTATAATTACGATGATTACGCAGCAGAACTAAAACAGAAACTTCAAGAATCTCATAAGATAGTACGAGATACTATTATATCATCTAAAGAAAAATCAAAAGAGAGATACGATGTAAATAATTGTCAACTGGAAGTCAATATGGGAGACAAAGTATGGATTAAAAATCATAATCAAAAGGGGAAGTTAGGGCCAAAGTGGTTAGGTCCCTTTCCGGTAACAAGCCTACACGAAGGTGAAAATATTTCAATTCAACGCGGTAGAAGAGAAATAAAAATACATAAAAATGAAATCAAAATTGCTAATTAAAAAAAAAAAAAAATTTACCAATTAATCAATTATGCTAATGTTACAGATTTTTCATAAAATTACATTCAATCTCAGCACAGTTCAAGTTAACTCCATTACACAATCCAACAGGAATTTATTTTCATATAATAAATCACTTGCGTGTTTTCAACTCGCAGTGGCAGTTCCTAACATATGTAAATATAACAGATTATAACGAGAAATATAATAAAATTAATATCATGGTGGAAGATATTAAGGAATCTTGTAAATTAAGCAAATCTTTAGAAATAGAATCTGCTCGACAAATTTGTTCTCAATATAATTACCAAGCGTATAATTTTCTGTCAGAAATTAACAGTAATAGGGAACATGTAATGAAAATTATAGAAACACCCAAGAGTAGTTATCGCGCTAAAAGGGGTTTAATAAATATAGTAGGCAAAATAGCTAACGTTTTATTTAGTGTCTGTGACAGTGACGACGCTGAATATTTCTATAGTAAAATCCGGGAACTGGAATTTTCTAAATCCCGAATAGCCCATTTAACTGATACTCAGACACAAATTATGCAATCCATTATTTCTAATGTGAATTCCTCACTATTGGAAATAGGGGAGAGCCAAACAAAATTAACCGATAAATATAACTATTTACTCAAAGAAATACAAATAGAAAAGATACAAATAGATATATTAGAGTTCAATACAGCACTAGAGGAGCGAGTGTCGTTACTAAACATAATTCTTACATAGTATGCTTTCGAAACGCAAAATTTAGTAAACATTATAAACAAGGCACTTCAGGGACTAGTTCATTCTAGCATACTTGATATAAAGACTTTAAAAAAACAAATTAATGACATTAAGACACAACTACCCGTAGGGGAAGGCATACCCATTGATATAGAAAACTCTAGTTTATCGGAACTATTTCGACTTATCACTACTAATGTAATTTTTGTTGAAAACGTTCTTATTTTTATCATGGAAATTCCATTAGTTATTAACTATGAATTTATTTTGTATAAAATTATCCCTTTACCCGTAAATGTTCAAAATGAATCTTATGTATTAATAGTACCGTCAGCGGTACTATATATACCTATATACTATATAGACTGTATAGACTATATACCAGTAGATAAATCAAAATTGTATTATTTAGAGATAAGCGAAATTCAATTATCAAAATGTAAATTAATTACAAACATGTTAATTTGCCCATATGACCATCAAATACGTCATTTGGATGGATCTTGTGAGCTAACATTATTTAGGAGACAAAATATATTACCTGAATCTTGTAAACTAGAATATATTAACTTTAATTTTAATATCTGGCATAGACTAGAGAATACTAATTCATGGATTTATGTCACAACTAGAGATAGTATTATAATTAAATGTAAAAATGTTTCAGAAACAATAGCATTAGATATAAGTGGCATAGGTACTTTAGAATTAAGTAACGAATGTGAGGCTAATACCGACGATGGAACACATTTAATTACAAAAAAGAAAATAACAACAAAAATATATAAAGATTATATTCCTCAATTAAACATTTCTATTAATAAACTAACGCAATTAAACACTAGGGACATAATGTTGAATAATGCACTTAATGTAGATGAAGGAAATTCAAAGATAAAAAACAATTTGCACAATTTATTAGAATATTCAGACTCGTTGAAGCAACTAAAAGATACTATAACAGAGAATCATGGCATAAATATAAAAAATGATTATTTTTATATTCTTAGTGCATTCATCATCGGCGGTTTAGCAGTTTTATTAGTATTATTGTATTTTAAGTTTAAGAATAGTTGTAACAAAACGAAAAATTTTATCGAAGAAAAGGCAACCCCAAAAGTATATGAAGAACTAAATTTAAATTCTATTGAGAATGTCTCTTCTAAACCCACTCCAGGAAAAACTTTGCCCAGAATAATTTAATAATGTAATGGACAAAGATCTTCCATCTAACCCTGGGGGTGTTGTAAGCGAGTAGTATTTAGTATATATATTATTATTAGGGAACGGATTTAAATGCAAATTGCATTTTTTTCTGAATGTCCGAAAACATTGCTTTCCAAACACAAAGTTCATTTCATACATCAAGGAATTAAAAAATTTAACTTTTATTTTACATTTTTTGACATTTTTAGTGCATTTTTATGGTTTTTAAGTCATTTTTTCAACATTCATTCTAAAATAATAAAAATACCTAAATATTTATTAATTTATTATGTTACGAAATTACGAAATTATTGTTGGAAATTACGAAATTATTGTTGACACGTGTAGACACAAAATACAACACACAAGTTACAACAGATTATTACCCGCATTAAGGTAAAAATAAGATAAGCTATTTATCTAAATTGTAATTTTGTATTGCACTGTTGAGTTGAGTCGTTACTTTATCGTTTAGTATCGCGTATAGCCTCGTCGTAAAACGTTTTCGAGTGATTTTCGCAGATGTATTTAGTTTAGTTTTGTTTATTCCACGAAGTTTTTGAAAATGCCTAAGGCCAAACCTTCAGATGTTTCTCGTTTGCGGTCCTACGTTCAACAATATGGGGAAGAAATTTTTTCTACCGATGGAAGCGTTCTATTTTGTAAGATTTGTGAGGTCAGAGTGGCAGCCGAAAAAAAATTTACTGTGACACAACATGTGAGTAGAGATAAACATTTACGTGCACTAGAAATTCAAAAAAATAGAAAAAGTGCAGTTGTTCAGACATTATTTAATACCATTCCAAAAAATAATGCATTTACTACAGATCTTTGTACTGCAATGGTATCTGCTAACATTCCTCTTTTTAAACTGAAAAATGAAAATTTCCGCAATTTCCTTTCAAAGTATACTGGCCAACATATTCCAGACGAATCCACAATTCGAAAGAACTATGTAGGCAATACTTACAATCATACAATTAATTCTATTAGAACTTACTTGGAGAATAAAAAATTGTGGGTGAGTATAGATGAGACTACAGACGTAGATGGCCGATATGTCGCCAATGTCATAATCGGCACTTTAGAAATTGGATGTCCCGGTAAAACTTTTTTATTTAATTGCGAAGTTTTAGAAAAAGCAAATAATAGTACAATAGCTAAATTATTTGATAAATCTATGAGCTTGTTGTGGCCAGAGGGTATTAAACACGATAATGTACTACTATTTCTCAGTGATGCAGCACCTTATATGGTGAAGGCAGGAAAAAATATTAAAGCGTTTTACTCAAAAATGGAACACGTTACATGTTTGGCACATTCCCTACACAGAGTAGCTGAAGAAATACGTAAACAATTTCCCGAAATTGATGCTTTTATTTCGAACGTAAAAAAGATTTTTTTGAAATGCCCATCTCGAATATTAAAATTCAAAGAAATGGCGCCAGGGATACCAATGCCCCCTCAACCAATACTTACTAGGTGGGGTACATGGTTATCGGCAGCCATATACTATTGTGAAAATTATCAATTGATTAAATCTGTTGTGATGGGGTTTGATAAAGAAGATGCTGTAGCAATTGAGAATGCACAAAAACTGTTAAATGATAATAATTTGGAACTAAACTTGACATTTATCAAAGCAAATTATGGAAATTTAGCAAAATACATTACTACATTGGAAACATCTGGATTATCGTTGGCTGACGCAATTAATATTATTGCTCAAGTACAAAATGAAATCGGAACAGACAACAGTAGTATCGGAAAATCCATTAAAAAAAAACTAGAAGTTGTAATTGAAAAAAATTCGGGATTCAAAACAATGAAACATATTTCAAATATTTTGGAAGGAAAAGCAACATCTCGAAATAATACAATACCTGAAGAACTAACTGCTGATGACATGGCTCATTTGAAGTTTGCACCTATGACGTCAGTTGACGTGGAACGAAGTTTCTCGAGATACAAAACAACACTCGCCGATAACCGTCGAAGATTTCTGTTCGAGAATATTAAGCAGCACTTATACAGTGCTATGAAACAAAAGATAAAAGTATAACGAATATACCTATCTAAATTGTATACCTATTAATTTTTTAATTCTTTAGGGAAGAAGAATGAAGAAGAAGATGGACAAGAAGATAATTGATTTTTATTAGATTATTTGATTTTTAGTTTTATTGTATTTAAATATTTTTTATCTAATTTTTCATAATTTATATATATATTTTATAATTTTTTTTAAGTTTTTAAGGGCATTTTTTTAAGGCATTAAATCGGATTTTTTTAAGTCATTTTTCTTGTTTTTTAGAGCATTTAAATCCGTTCCCTAATTATTATTATTATTATTACTATTATTATGAATATATAAATAACATGTACGCGTAGGCATTAGTCCTTTATGTGGGGAGTAATGCAAGTAAGCATTTTTGGATTAACCGGACGCCTCTCGCCGTCCGTATAACCAGTCGTATTGTAACCAAGTACATGAACGGTCAATAAACGAACTCATAATAGTAATTTGTTCACGAGTCTTAACCATTTTTTAATCCTTTACTTTATTCGAAGTGCGAACTTACAAACGTTACATAGTGTCGACGGACTCTAACGAGTTTAACCGATCCGGCCTATAACAGTTATTAAGTCTTTCGTCTACACCCTTTCACCATCCACCATCTCCAATGATTGGTAGGCAATCGCAATATTGTTGCGTGCCGTCGTTCAATCGTAACGATGGTTAAGTTTTTTAGGATAATACTTCAAATAAAAATGCTCAAATATAATTAAACTGTTTATTTAAGAATTTTTCTAAGTACAAAACATTAATTTAAGAAATGATCTGGCGTGAAGGTGCTTGCGATTATACCTGTAAACCACATCTGAATATTGGTCTGTTCCCAACCCCCTTATATACTTAGGTCTCGTGGGAATTGGCCGCGCATTTCTATGTAATATATTATTTCCAATTACTATTACTACCTGGAGGTGTTAAATTGTAATTAAAATGGTTAACCTCGGTAATATTACTATTCGAACATCTCTCATATTTTGTTATGTGCTTTTATTAATTGCTTTTTTATAATTCTTTGAAATGTAGTCTGATAGCTCATATTCGTCTTACTCTCGGTTCTTAATCATTCCTTTCTCTTTATACGAATACGAATATTATATTAATAATAATCATTTCCCGATTTCTATTATTTTTAATCTACGTGGTCCCATCCATGTATTATGAGTCGTAAAGACCTACATTTATGAATTTCTGCAACACCTCCGCGCGAAAAGAAAGATTTTTGTCCTCAGATAGAAATCTTTTACAATCCGCCCTAATTTTAACATTTGTTTTACAAAAAAATTTTTTTTTTAACATGATATGACATTGATTACAAAATTTATGATTAATACAAAAAAAAATTTTTTTTTTTTTACATGATATTTTGATTCCTTATGAATTAACAATATTAATATATTTTTTATTGAATATAATATGAAAATTAATTATATAATATAATATTAAATGATATATTATAACATAGTTTACATTATTACTATGAATATAATATATGTATGTTAGTTGTACAAATATCTTATATTTTAGTGTTAGATATTAATAATGAGATAATATATAAAGAAATAATTGAGTTAAATATGAGATAAATTGAATAAAAATAATTAGAGTTGAATTGAGATAAATAATTATTGAGTGAATTTAGTTAAAAGTACTAAAAAAATATTGGAACGTTACACGCCGCCTTGTGTATAATTGAGAGATTATTAAGTGAATTTAGTTTAAAAGTACTAATAAAATATTGGAACGTCACATGCCGTTTTTGAAATAACTTTTGAAAGAAAACCTAAAGAAACAATGGCAGACTCAAAAGAAATAATTAATAAAACAAATTTCTTGTTAGAAGAAGCAATAAAAATTATACCAAAATGTAAAACAGAGGATGACATTTATAATTTTATAAATGCATGTGATTTAGCGGTAAGCGCGAGTAGTATCATTTTGGCGGTTCAGAAACCTCCGGTGCCGACCCTTGCCGACCATGCCGACCCTTGCCGACCAAGCCATTTAAAACTTATGGTGAATATGCAATATTGCCATTGTTACCCTCCGAATACTGTGGACGAGTTCAATGTGTTTTGCATAGAGGAGGATCTGTGCCATTGACATTAGTGCGCTGTTACGAAGTTGAGTTTAGTGTGTTATTTTTAGATGACTACGTTAGTCCTAATATAGCTGGCTTATCAAAAAGTTTTGCTCTTAATAAATTTGAGACCTTCTTCAGTTCTGAAGGATTGTGCGTACGTGCTTCAGGTTATCCTATGTTATATACAGCCAAACAAGGTTGTTGTACTAGAGCTTTTAAAATTAATGATAACAATCGAAGACTGAGAAAGAGGCCTGATGATACAACAATATATATATATATCGATATTCACACAATACCTTGTAAAAACTACCGTCGTCGCCCCGACGTTTGGCGTCGGATTGACAATAAGATACATTTCCTATCATTAGGATTATTCGTTATACTTAATGATATTAAAATACCTATTTTAATGAAAAACATATTATTGTCCGATATTAGTACCTTCTGTCGGACGTATCTTCATACAGTGTAATATCAATAAAGTATCAATATTTCCACTACCTACTTAAATTCGTCTTTTTATATTCTGTAAGAGCCATCAGTTCTTCAGTACGTTTTAAACCGTTGTACACGTATTTCTTCTCTCTAAGTCTTTAAAAAATTTATAGTGTTTAATTTTTAAATATTATTTTTTGATTTTCTTAAACAACATGCTTAAATGCGAGCAGTGTCCATCCACGTTTACACGTAAAAGTAATTTGAAAGCTCATCAAAAAAAATCACGATGGTGTTCGTTTCACGTGTACTGTTTGTGCGTCGATCTTCAGCTACAAATGTCATCTGAATAGACATTAAGAACAAGCATGGTATGTTTAATATTTATTTTATGATCTGTAAGGTTTAATATCTAATTCAATATTTATTTTATAAGCTATTGCTCGAGCACAACGAGGTGAAATTATAGTACCAGGTCCATCAAATCATACTCACAATGCTAATAATACGCTGGGCGAATATTTTAATGATGGGTATGATGAAATGTTAGCGGAAATGCCTGAAAATGATCAAAGTGAGATTTTACAATATTAAAGATAGAACTTTTTTTAATAATAATTTATTTCCAAGG